GGCGGCGGTGGTGGTCGTCGTCATCCTCCTCCTCCTGCTCGTTGTCGTCGTCGTCGTCCTCGTCCTCGTTTTCGGCAGTGTTTTTCGTCTGCATCCCATTTTCAGGAGTACCTTGAGACGCTGGGCAACATCTCCAAGTGTGCCGTCGACTACGTTGCTTCGGCCGATTTCAGGATGGTTGGCTGAACTGTAGCAAGTTGACAGTCTTACACTCAATCCTGAATGGCCGAGAAGAAGAGAGCAAGACAGATGATCTGTACATACACGCGAAGGTAACCGGGGCCTGCTTTTATTGAAGCTCCTGTAGTTTGTCTTGTATTGCAAAACCTAGATCTGCTGCCTTTGTACAGTTGCAGGCAGCGCGCCTGAGGCGAAGCACCCTTGTGCCTTTCTGTGCGTGTGGAGTCCGACAGCAGATGGCATGCAAACAAACAAACCCTAAACTATGTTGAGCTTGAATGATCAACGAAGCCCAAAGATTCGATTAAAGCCGTGGTCCAAGTAAGTTCCGAGGTTGAGAACTCCTCGGGCTGCATCGGCGACACCACTTGCATGTGGAGGATGGGGGTGGCAAGTCAAACCCAGCTAACCGCAAGAATGCAGAACGAATGCTGGCGAGCTTTGCATAGCTGGCAAGCAAGAAGCAGGGTGCATGTTGTGAAGTAGGGCATTCATTCACGTCTTGGTGAGGGTTCACAGGATACTGCAGGGTCAAAAGGGGTGTCAGGGGAGTACCCATAGAGATGTTGGAGAGTTAAAAGATCCGGGTAGAAAGGTTTTGTACCGACATTGACCAGTAAATGCCCTGAACCGTGAACCTTAAACCCTGAGAAGTCCCGAGCCCAATGCCCTAGCCCCTTTTCGAACTCCGGTTGTGCATGACAGTCATGGAGGCTGTGTGGTCCTAGCACTTCTGATTCGACTGAACTTAACGTTGTCTAGGGTCCTTCTTTAGAGGTTGAAGAATGTGTCATGCATAAAAGAATCTACTCGATGGATCATTTTCTTTAGGCACCTTCACGTGCTCTAAGAAGCTACGGGCTGGATCTTGCGTATTGGCTATGCTGGCAGCATCAGGCCCATGTTCGAGTCCGGCGTCTGCATGCTCAATCCGAAGAGCACGGTACTGAGATGTGATTTCAGTTGGGGTCCAGAGGCAAGGGTCTGATACTTGGATGTTCAGTAATGGGCTAGTATTTTTGAGGTGGGCTCACTTGGTCCTTGCATGGACCTTGTGCAGGGTCGACATGCCTCTCCCTTCGTGCCCGTCAAGAAATGAATATGGAACCAATTATGATTCCTATCTTTGTACCTCAAATCTTTTTACTGTTGTTTTTCTGTTATTTCCATTTTTTGTATTGCTGCTAGTATCCTTGTGCTCATGGAGGCGTTGCGCCTGAGAATGCCACTGGAGGACTACAAAATCTATAGTCTAAGCCAGCAATGGCAAAATCATCAGAGTCCCACACCTTCAAACCAAGAGTCTCTAATGCTATGAGCAAGAGCATGACTTATCCAATTTAATAAGAAAAATGCTGGGTAACAATGCTTGGAAAAGGAAGAGATAATAGTAATCATAGCAATCATAGATGGCATGAAGGTGCGCGGGATTTTTCCTTCACAGGGATCGGTGAGGTACCTATCCAAAGCGGGGCCCTGAAGACCAAACCTTGGAGCTGAAGCCCTAAGGTGAAGATTGGAGGGAGGTTCAGGGTAAATGGAACAAGGAAGTCTGACATGCTCCGCATAGACATTCTATTCCAGCATGACGGGGTATTCCAAACCTTGTGGGATTGCCCTGGACATACTTGTCCGCAGGTGTCACCACCACAACCACGGCACCCCGGGCTGGAATTTAGTTGTGGGAGGTTACGCTTCACAGTGACCCACAGAGTCATGCTAATGGTATCACTTGGGGTTTAGGCTCGGATTGGCTTTTGGGTTTAGTTCGAGTCGAGGTCGGCTAGGTTGCAGGGCTCAGGCACCAGGCATTTGAGCTGTCGCGTTGCCGCAACCTGGAACGTCAAGGAAGCTAACGCCCTGGTTGTTCACCTCAGTCATGGCAAGCCCATGGCAAGAATCGTGATGGGCTGGTGATATGCATCGTTTGGTGGCTTTGTGGGCGTCTTGTGGAGTTTGAGGTGTCTCGCATTACTTGCTTGATCTCTGCGTCGCAGGCGCAGACCTTGTTAGATTTACGAAGCTGAAGCCAACAGATGACAGCCTTTGTTTTCATGAGTGATGTCCGTGCTTCCTGGTTCCTAGTAGAGAAGAAGGGAATATATTCTTATATGGGGATCAATTATGAAGCAGCCCGCTTTTGTTTTTCATGTGAGCTATAGTCTAAACTCCTTGCTAATGTCATTTGGGAATGGGGCAGTCCTCATGACCCGTCATGATCCCCATAGGCGAATGGAACGACTTTCATGGCTTGTTACACTACCAAGAACCCATTCTCACAAGCCCAACTAAGCCCTAACGCTGAACCTTGAACTTCAATTTTTTCAGTGCCTTCCTTTTCAATGAAGCATGGCTGCGCATAATCGTCCGCTGTACAGGTACCCCAAATGAGGGTCTCATATGTCCCCGACGATCAAAATACCCTAAACCCTAAACCCTATATACCTCTTTATAACCCCTAACCCTTATTTCCCCCTAGATACCCTTATATAACCCCTGAACCTGTTCCTTCAAGTCTTGACTGTTTCACGATTGTCTCTTGGAGCTCAGGTAGAGGCGCGGACCTCAGCCGCCTGAAGCTGGCTTTGTTATAGATTTGGGGTTTAGGGTTTAGGGTTTAGGGTTTAGGGGTGTAGGGGTTTAGGGTTTAAGGGTTTAGGGGTTCAGGATTTAGGGTATAGGGTTCCCAAAATTAGGGTTTTAGGGTTTAGGGGTTCCCTTATTTTGGAAACTACCATTTCTCAGAATGTAGTAAATACCTTTGGCAGGGGGATGGGGGCAACTACTATACCACCAGATGTTGTATAGAGACTAGTTTAAAACTGTCCCATGTAACCATTGCTAAAGTTGGGTTGGCTACTTGCAGAAGTGTTGATGTGTCAGGGAAGCATTGTGCGTTCGCACGGGTGGGGATGCTATTTGAGGTTACCCCGCCATTTCTGAGATAGGTGGTTCCCTGCATGTCAGCTTTCAGCTAGTCTGCTATGCAGCTTATTAAAGTCCTCCTTAAGTAGATAGAATATGGCATTGGGCATACTACAAAAAGAACCCCATATACCCCATATTCTATCTAATTAAGGGGGGCATAAGGCGTAGCTGGGTGCTGACAAAAACTGTAGCCACAAAAACCCGACATTTCTATGGAAGCTTGCAGACCCCTAAACCCCGATATAACCCTTATATAAGCCCTTCATAGCTTCTTCATAACCCCTATTTAACCCTATAGAACCCCTGTAGAACCCCTCAGAGCACTGAGGGCACCGTCTTTAGCGTTGTGGAAGTCAGCATGCCGATGGTTGTGGACAATCCGGACACCATCACTCAGAATGCCAGCGGCCAAGAAGTTTTTAGGCAATGTCTATTGGGGTATAATATTGGGGTTATTCCGGGGTAATGTATTGGGATAATGGAAAATAAAATGGAAACTACTGTAGGGTTTGTGGTTTTGGGTTTATGGTTTTAGCAGCTTTTGCAGACTGCTCATCAGCTTTTGTTGGTTTTGGGAGCTTTGGGGTTCGGCGTGTCTTTCTGCCCACTGAGCCAAATGTTTGAACGGGAAGCAGGCTGTCCTTGCCATTCCATTTTGCACCCTCTCCTAGGATTCCATGACACCTGTCTCCCCTTGAAAGTGAACAGTTTAGTGTTGCGTAGGAAACGTGTAGAATGAGGGAGGCGTCAAAGGATCATTGTTAGGGGAGATTACAACGAGCCGTTTCTGCTTGGGCGTGGAAATGTTAATTTTGGAGGTCAAATCTTGTCAATACTGGGGCCGGGAGGCGTATGCTATAATCATATCGCATTTGTAACTTGTAAGGGGGAGTTTCTTACCCCTTCCCCGAGCTACATGACATGATATGATGGTTGATGTCATGAAATGCTGTTCTTCATTCTTTATGCTTCGGTTCTAAACCACTACTGGCTAAAATCCATCTTCCCCACATCCGGAACTCCATGCCCAAACACCCCAAAGCCTACGCCCAACACCCAAACTGTACATATTCCCCATGCAGCCCTACAGAACCCCAATATATCCTTGCATATATCCCCAATATATCCTTACACAACCCCAATATGTCTTTATATTATATACCATACCTGAATAACCCTTTATATAGCCATTGTATATCCCCCAAAAGCTCAAACTGAGACCACCTTGACTACTGCCATGCGGCGAGGGCCTCAGATTTTGTCCCAGTAGTTTCAATCTTCTTCTGCATTATTATTGGGTTTATATGGGGATAATATATTGGGATAATGGAAAATAAAATGTAAACTACTTATATAGGGTTTGGGGTTTAGGATATTCCTTGTATGAGCTACTGTCAATATGAGCCTTGTTGAGGGGCCCTTAACAGTGGACATGGGGTTCCCCTGACCCTAATAAGGAACCCATGTCCACTACATTATGTAGGAAATACTGACCGAAGCTCTGATGATTGTTGTAATTGTGGTTATACTTCTTATTTTCACCATTCCTGAGGACCTCAGTTTTTCCTGGACGGGGCTTGCTGCATGTACTCTCGACATATTCTTGTAAGTTTGCAGGGACAAGCAACATATGATATGTATCATACATCTATCTGTGTAGATATGACTTATGCAACAGATGACTGTCAAAAAAGTATTCAGGGCTCCCACGGTACGTGACTAGATTCTTCAAGATTACTGGCTTCTATTTGGGTTTCCATGTCATGTGGGAACAGAAGACTCAACAAACCTCTGGATCGCACGAGTAGCGTGTCCTACGCGGATCCTAACATATGAGGCTGAATTTGTTATATAGCATCCAGTTTCAGAGCCCATGTTGCGTGGTGTGGATTGCGTGGTGTCCGCGTCGGTTGATGATGATGATGATGATGATAATGATGATGCAAGTGATCGTTGTTCTTCTTCATTTCCATGGCCACATGTTTGGATACTTCACTGGGTTCATTGTTAAGGCAACGCTATTGTTTTTTGTCACTTCCTCCCTTGCTCATGTCTGGAACTGGTGTACAATAAAACTGTTTTTCAGGCAGGAGGAGATGGGCTTGATAGTTGTTTTCCGCTGATCTAAAGATTGTCCTAGAACTGTCATCAGTATCTTGCTGCTTCTTTTTTGGCTGGCCTTGTTTGTTTCAAGTCCGACTTGCAGGTCCTGCGTGTGCCCGGCAGCCTGCATATCAAGTGTAAAACCTGTTTAGCTCGAGCTGGCAGAACAAAGATCCTGCAGGAGCACGTTAACAAATCGCTCCATTCGACCAATGATGCACGCAAAGCCCCAACTACCACAGCATCATGATGCTGAAGCACTACGGGCTTGAAAGCTGTCCCTGCAGGTCCGGTTTCGCAAGCTTGATGGGCGTGACTGTGGATACTTGGCTGCTCCTGGTTAGACCTTCAGGGGATTTTAAGTTTTGGATCTAGGTAGGGGTTCAGCTAAAGGTTTGAAGGTCAAGTGAGGAAGGTTAGGCTTCCTGAAAGATTTCAGTTCCTGAGAGTGTAAGTCTTCCTGTGACCGTGTACGACAGCTCCTGTCCTTTCAGCGTGAGTTTTGCAAGCCTGGAAACCACCATGTACCTGCGCTGCGGTTTGACTCCTGATTTTGCTGTCGGGCGCTGTCTTTTCCCCTCGTATTCACCCTAAAGTGATGAGACAAAGGAACGCCCCAAGAACTGCTGGATGTAAACTCTCGGAGGCAGACTTCCGAAAGGCTTGCCCCAACGCTTACGACTCCTACTTACTATTCACTATTCCTTCTTTGTTGTTATACCTCCTGGCATCGTGATGGCCGCCATCACCACTGTGACACCGGCAGCGATGGTAATGGCCTCCAAGGACCAGGTCACACTTTCCTTCGAGACGGGCCGCCTCTTGAGCATGTTAAACGAGTATGCCCGCAAGCTAGCGGTCACCCTCACGGCGCCGGGACCCTAGATGGCTGGCCTTTATGCCGTAGGGCTT